TTTTGGATTTTCCAAAAATTTTTGGATCTAAAATTTAAAATTCAAAATCTAAAATTATTTTTTTTTTGATTTTTCAATTCTTCGATTTCTCAAATTTTCGATTTGCAGTTTTGGGATTTTTCAATATTTAGGTTTGTAGATTTTTCGACTTTCCGATTTTTGAATTTTTTACTTTTTCGATTTTTAAAAATTTTTTGATTTTTAAAATTTTAGGTTTTTCAAAATTTTTAATTCTTCATTTTTTCGATTTCCCAATTAACCGTTTTTTTGATTTTTGAACTTTTCGTTCTCTCGTTTTTCCCACTTTCCGATTTCTCGTTTTTTCAATTTTTCGATTTCTCAATTCTTGGAGTTCTCAAATTTTCGATTTTCAGTTTTGGGATTTTTCACTATTTAGGTTTGTAAATTTTTTGACTTTTCGATTTTTTACTTTTTCGATGTTTCAAGGTTTTTCGATTTTTTAAAATTTTAAATTTTTCCAATTTTTGATGATTTCATTTTTTGAGTTTTCAATGTGTCGATTTGATTTTTTCGAGTTTAAATTTTTTATTCGTCATTTTTCAAAATTAAAAATTTTTCAATTTTCAGTTTTTCGACTTTTCTAAATGATCCATTTTTGAGTTTTCAACTTTCTGATTTCTCGATTTTCCATCTACGATATTTGATTTCTCAGTTTTCATTTCTCAAGTTTTCGATTTTCGGTTTTGGGATATTTTAGTAGGTATTTAGTATTTTCAATTTTTCGACTTTTCGGTTTTGTGATTTTTTACCTTTCCAATTTTTAAATTTTTTTTAACTTATTAAATTTTAGGTTTTTCAATTTTTTGATATTTTGTTTTCTTGATTTTTCAATCTTTCATTTCGATTCGTAATTCATTTTTTTCATTAATAATAACAAATTTTTGAGATTTTTCAATATTTAGGTTTGTAAATTTTTAGATTTTCTCCGAATTTTTGATTTTTTACTTTTTCGATTTTTCCAATTTTCGACTTTATTTTTTCAAGTTTCAATTTTTAATTCTTCATTTTTTAGATTTTTAAGTTTTGTTTTTAGATTTCTTGGCGTTTCTAAATTTTCAGTTTTTCAATTTCCCAATTAATCGATTTTTTGATTTTTCAACCTTTCATTTTCTTGATTTTTCAATTTTTTGATTTCTCAATTCTTCGATTTCTCAAATTTTCGATTTTCTTCGGTTTTGGGATTTTTCAATTTCTAATTTTATCAATTTTTCGATTTTTGATGTTGTGATTTCTCGATGTTTCAATTTCTCGATTTGATTTTTTCGAGTTTTCAATTTTTAATTCTTAATTTTTTCGATTTTTAAATTTTTCAGTTTTTTGGGGTTTCTAAATTTTCAGTTTTTCGATTTTCCAATTAATCCAATTTTTGATTTTTCAACCTTTCATTCTTCGCTTTTTCAACTTTCCACATTTCTCGATTTTTCAATTTTTTGATTTTTCAAATTTTCGGTTTCTCAAGTTTTAGATTTTTTTCAGTTTTGAGATTTTTTTATATTTAGTTTTTTAATTTTTCGACTTCCCGATTTTTTAAGTTTCGACTTTTTCGAGTTTAAATTTTTTTTTCTTAAGATTTTCCATTTGTAAATTTTTAAATTTTTTGGAGTTTCTAAATTTTCGGCATTTCGATTCAAAATTAATCGCTTTTTCAATTTTTTCATTTTTCAATTTTTCAAGTTTTCGATTTTCATTTTTGGGATTTTTCAATCTCTAGTTTTTTCAATTTTTCGACTTTTCGACTATTCGATTTGCTAAATTTTAGATTTTTTGATTTTCTGATGTTTGGATTTCCCAATTTTTCAATTTTTCGATTTGATTTTTTTTAGTTTCATTTTAGGTTTTGTTTTTTGTTTTTTTCTATTTTTCAACATTTCGTTTTCTCGCTTTTTTGACTTTCCGATTTCTCAATTTTTCAATTTATGATTTCTCAAATCTTCGATTTTCAGTTTTGGGATTTTAAATATTAGGTTTGTAAATTTTTCGACCTTTCGATTTTTTGATTTTCTACTTTTTTGGATTTTTCAAAATTTTTAAGTTTTTTAAATTTCTGTTTTTTCGAATTAAACGTTTTTTTTTTATTTTTCAACCTTTCGTTTTCTCGCTTTTTCGACATTTCCGAATTCTAGATTTTTCAATTTTTTGATTACTCAGTTCTTAGGTTTCTAAAATTTTCGATTTTCTTCACTTTTAGAATTTTTTCATATTTTTAGGTTTTTTTTAATTTTTCGAGTGTTCTATTTTTTAATTTTTTTTCTTTTTTGATTTTAAAAAATTTTTTAATTTTTTAATTTCTAAAATTTTCGATCTTTTGGTGTTTTGATTTCTCCATATTTGATTTTTTCGAGCTTTCAATTTTTAATTCTTAATTTTTTTCATATCCTAAAATTTTTTTTTTTTGGGTTTTCTGAATTTTTGGTTTTTCGATTTCCCAATTTCCCAATTAATCGATTTTTTGATTTTTCAACTTTCGTTTTCTCGCTTTTTCAACTTCCCGATTTTTAGATTTTTTACTTTTTCGATTTCTCAAATTTTTAATTTTCATTTTTCGGATTTTTCGATATTTAGGTTTTTCGATTTTCTGATGTTTTGATTTCTCTATTTTTCGATTTTCGACTTGATTTTTTCTAGTTTCAATTTTTAATTTTTAATTTTTTCGAGTTTTCAATTTTTCAATTTTTTGTGGTTCCTAAATTTTCAGTTTTTCGATTTTCCAATTAATCCAATTTTTGATTTTTCAACTTTTCATTCTTTTTTTCAATTTTCCACATTTCTCGATTTTTCATTTTTTTGATTTCTCAAGTTTTAGATTTTTTTCAGTTTTGAGATTTTTTGATATCTAGTTTTTTTAACTTTTTGACTTCTCGATTTTTTAATTTTTGATTTTTTCGAGTTTAATTTTTTATTTCTTAAGATTTTCGATTTGTAAATTTTTCAATTTTTTGGGGTTTCTAAATTTTCGGTATTTCGATTCATCGATTTTTCAATTTTTTCATTTCTCAAGTTTTCGATTTTCAGCTTTGGGATTTTTTAATCTTTGGTTTTGTCAATTTTTCGACTTTTCGACTATTCGATTTGCTAAATTTAAAATTTTTTGATGTTCTGATATTTTGATTTCCCGATTTTTCAATTTTTAGATTTCATTTTTTCGAGTTTCAATTTTTAATTCTCCATTTTTTCAATTTTTAAGTGTCGTTTTTTAGGTTTGTCAATTTTTCGACCTTTCGATTTTTTGATTTGCTACTTTTTCGATTTTTCAAAATTTTTAAGTTTTTTAAATGTGTGCCTTTTCGAAGATGTTGTGTTGATCTCTCGATTTTTCAATTTTTCGACTTGATTGTTTCGAGTTTCAGTTTTTAATTCTTCATTTTTTCGAATTTTAAGTTTTGTTTTTAGACTTTTTGGCGTTTCTAAATTTTCGGTTTATCGATTTTTCAATTAAACGTTTTTTTCATTTTTGAACCTTTAGTTTTTTCTAGCTTTTTCGACTTTCCGATTTCTCGATTTTTCAATTTTTTGAATACTCGGTTCTTAGATTTCTAAAATTTTCGATTTTCTTCAGTTTTGGAATTTCTCAATATTTATTTTTTTTTTCATTTTTCGACTGTTCTATTTTTTAATTTTTTTTCTTTTTCGATTTTTGAAAATTTTCAATTTTTGAAACTTTAGATTTTTCGATTTTTTGGTGTTTTGATTCCTCTATATTTCAATTTTTCGAATTTTCAATTTTTAATTTTTAGGAGTCGTTTTTTCAATTTCTAAAATTTTTAAATTTTTTGGGGTTTCTGAATTTTTGGTTTTTCGATGTACCAATTAATCGATTTTTTGATTTTTCAACCTCTCGTTTCCTCAATTTTTTAATTTTTTGATTTTCAATTTTTCGAGTTCTCAAGTTTTCGATTTTCAGTTCTGGGAATTTTCAATGTTTAATTTTCAAAATTCTTCGACTTCTGTACTTTTTGATTTTTTACTTTTTCGATTTTTAAAATTTAAAAAATTTTTAATTCTTCATTTTTTCGATTAATAAATTTTTCAATTTTTTGACGTTTCTAAATTTTTAATTTTATGATTTTTCAACATTTTTGGTTTTTAAATTTTTTTTTATTTTTGACGTCATACATTTTATGCAGGGGGTAAACAAATATATTTTATTTTACCTTTTAAAATAGGTTTTAGTTACTGCATGACCTGACCTGTTGTGACTTGATGTTATCAAACCTGATCTTACTTGACTGGACAAACCTGATGTGACCTGATCTGACCAAATCAAACTTAACCTGACCAAAACTGCCTGATCTCACTTGTCCTGACCTGTCAAAGCCTGACCTGACGACATCTGACATGCCCTAACTAAAACTGTCTAATCTGACTTAATTTGACCTGCTTTGTTCTGACCTGATCAAACCTGGTACCGAATCAAACCTGACCAAACTAGATCAGATCAAACCTAATCTTACCTAACCCAACCTGGCCAAGCCTAAATTGACCTCATTTGACGTGTCCTAACCAAAACTGATCTGACCTTAAATGCCACGATCTGACTAGACTTGACGTGACCAAAAATGGTCTGACCTGACCTAATCAAACCTGACCTCATCTGGCCTGTCTTGACCAAGACTGTTTTCGAAAACATAAAAATGATTTCGTCGAAAATACAGAAAAAATAATTAATAGCAATAGAAAAATTTCTAAGTAAGTGCCGTCAATTTTTTGACGTAGCGGAAACAGAGTCTCTACTACAGGAAACAATAAACAATTATTTAAAAATTCTGTGAAGATAATCCAAATTTCCAAATTTGTCAATGACGAAAATCGTCGTCTAAACAACTGATAACAGTTTTTTGACGCAAAATCGCTTCCACTCTCTCGCTCCAAAACAATTCCTTGAACAACCTGCAGATGTCACTAAATGCACTGCTTTTAATCCCACACCCATTTCCTGTCAATAATAATCAATTAATTTTTTTTTTGTTACGAAATTTCTTACAACTCTATCTAGCGTAGACACAAATAGCCGCTTTATCTTATCAGATAAGGCCCCGAACTATTCGTGGTAGTTCTACTTTGTCGTTATCAATGCAATTAAAGCAATTCTGTGTACATGATTAACCAAGCAAATTCATGCCAAAGTAAGTAAACAAAAACACTTTCCAAGTACACTCACTCTCACCCCTCCAGTAGCTCCACGATGGGTCAAACCAACGCACATCATCGCCTGGAAGTCATAAAAGAAAACGTCGACGAAATCACCGAAAAAATCAAATCCGACGAACTCACACCAGATGACAGGAGCAGATCGCACGAAATCCTCCTGGATTACATAAAAGAACTCAAGTTTATACTGAGCAAGTCGCTGAGGACTTCGCGAATACGCAAGGTGGAAAAGCTGATTGTTACAGCTTTGCAAGAACTGGCGACTTTGGAAGGGAATTTGAGGAACGTGGAACCGAGGTTGAAGGCCAAGTCGATGCAAACCCTCCACGATATCGAGAAGAACATGAAGACGATCAGTGCGACCTTGACCAACCAGAACCTAGAAGACGAGAAGGAAACGGTCAGCAAGTTCAAGAAGAGGATAAGCTTGATTGAAGACATCGACCATGAGGTGGGTGAGACAAAAAGCAAAGTTCTAGACGTGGTGAACAGCGTCGAGACTACTTTCAACGAGCGAGAAATGGAAGACAGGTTGAAGAGATTGGAAGAAAAACACTACCAGGGTAGAGTAGACCTGACTAGATTCATCGGGGTTAGCGAAAGTGGGTGCTACAAGAAACACAAGGAGCATCTACAAAGCTTGAAAGAAGAAGTGAGCAAAATTTTAGACGTGAGTATCAAAGTGAGCGACCGCAAAAAATACCTTTTGTTCAATATTGACAACAACATAGAAGCTCTTGACAAGAAAGTTAGAGAAAACGAAGAGACTATCAGGAGACAGATGGTCGAAGAAGATGTTTTTAGAGCAACTACTCCCACCATATCGAACCAGAACTTAACCGAAGACCTCGTTCGTGCCTACACCGAGTTTGAAAAGTCTTTTTCTGCTAATTGTACGTTAGGAGAATTGCAAGATATCTTCAGACAACTCGGCGAAGTGAAGATTAAGATCGACCAGAAGTTGAAAGTTTTGGAAAATCAGATACAAATCCAGGACGTGGATCCTTTTGCGGAATTGGTGCCTGTGAAGGACAACGACAGTCCTGTTGTTGACTTTGACAAAACTCCAGTGGCTCCTCCAAGAGCTGTCAACAAAATGAAGCAAATCGAAAAACGCGTCGAAGATATACAACACCAAATTTCGACAATGAGGTACGCCAAAGATAGCTACTTTTACACAAACCATCGAAGAAAATTGGAAGAATATAAGTCAGAATTGAACAATTTGCCTGTTAGAAATGAAGACGAGCAAGCGTTTGGTGATCAAATTTCGCAGTTCATAGATGAGGTCTTCTATTTGCTAGACAACACTTGTACTGATCGTATAACAGGCGATCTTTTGATTGATATTACGTCCATGAACACCAGTGTTAGTGAGTTGGGAAACAGTATACAGCGAGCTAGTACATCACGGGAACTGGATTCCATCGGAAGTGAGTTAAGTAACAATTTGTATTATTTGAAGAAGCTGGAAATTCCACATTCAAGAAGTAGCGTTTGCCAATTTCGCGACTACGTGGTCATTCAAATCGACAGTCATTTGTCTAATATAGAAAAGTTGAAGAGGAATTTACACAAGCTGGAGCTGGTGCAAGCAAAAAATGAAGAGATGATGAGTTTCTAGAGAATGACATTTTTATGTAAATTTTATATTATATGTGAGTTATTAATAAATCGATTTGTATAAAAGCGTACATCGATTTTTACCTTTTTTGAAATTTTTACTGGGTTTTGTGAAATTTCAAAGCTGTAAGAAGTGTCGATGTTATTAATAAACTTATTCAAAGTGAACTGATAATGGGAATTTCTGGAGTAAACAGAGAAAGTAATGAATTAGGTCAGGTCAGGTCAGGCCAGATCAGGTTTGGTCAAGTCAGATCACGTCAGATCGAGTCAAGACAAGACAACAAGTCAGACAAGGTTAGATCGGGTCAGGTCAATTTGTCTTTTCTTCAAATTTTGATTTGCAATTTATTTACTTTTCATTTTAAATATGTAATATTAATAACTTTTTAAACACTTCACTTTTCGATTTTACGGTTGTAGAATTTTTCCATTTTTCAGTTATTGTATTTTAAAACTTTTCAATTTTTTGATTCTTTATTTTTTCATTTCTATTTTCTTTCCGTTTCGATTTTTATTTTCTTAATTTTTTCAATTTTTCGGTATTTCAGTGTTCTGATTTTATAATTTTTCTTTTTTCAATTTGAAATTTTCCAATTTTTTGTTTTTGAATCTTCGATTTGTTAATTTTAGATTTTTTGATGTTTCAAAATTTTTCAAATTTTGGATTTGCAATTTTTGGATTTTTAAATTTCATTTTCTGGATTTTTCAAGTTTTCATTTCTTTATATTCGATTGGCAATTTTTCTAGTTTTCATTTTAATATAATAAGGAAAAATAAAAACATTTTTCAGTTTTTCGATTCAGTTAGTTTTTTCTACTTCCCCATTTTTCGAGTCATTTTTAAGTTTCTGGATTTTGCACTTTTTCGATTTTACGGTTTTAGGATTTTTCCATTTTTCAGTTATTGGATTTTAAAACTTAATCGGTTGTTCGACTTCTCAATTTTTTGAAACTCCAATTTTTCATTTCTATTTTCGATCTACGACTTTCCGATTCGATTGTTTATTTTCTTGGTTTTTTCAATTTTTCGGTATTTTAATGTTTTGACTTATAATTTTTTCGATTTTTCAAGTTTTCGTTCCCTCAGTTTTTGATTTGCCATTTTTCTAGTTTCATAATTCTTCTTTTTTCAATGTGAAATTTTTCAAATTTCAATTTTTAGATTTTTAAATTTCATTTTTTCAAATTTAGATTTTTCATTTTCTGAATTTATCAAGTTTTCATTTTTTTATATTCGATTTGCAATATTTCTAGTTTCCATTTTAATATAATAAGGAAAAATAAAAAAAAATCTTTTTCAATTCTACGATTTTAGAATTTTTCCATTTCTCGGTTACCTAATGGATTTTGAAATTTTTCTTTTAATCGATTTTCAATTTTTTGATTTTTAATTTTTCTGTCAATGTCAGTTTTTTGATTTCACAATTTTTGATTTTTCAATTTTTGGGTTTTCCAGTTAATCAAGTCAATTTAAGTCAGGTTAGGTTTGGTCAGCCCAGGTTTAGGCTGGTCCAAGCAGGTCAGATTATGTTTGAGTCAGTCAGGTCAGATCAGATCAGGTTTGGTCAAGTCACATCAAGTCAGATCGTGTCAGGTCAGGTCAGGGTAAGTCGGGTCAGGACAATTCAGGGTAAGTCAAGTCAGGTCAGGTCAGGTCAGGTCAATTTTTCGTTTCTTCAAATTTTGATTTGCAATTTATTTACTTTTCATTTTAAATATGTAATAATAATAATTTTTTAAACATCTCACTTTTCGATTTTACGTGTTTAGAATTTTTCCATTTTTCAGTTATTGGATTTTAAAACTTTCCAATTTTTTTATTATTCAATTTTTCATTTCTATTTTCGATCTACAACTTTCCGTTTCGATTCTTTATTTTATTTATTTTTTCAATTTTTCGGTATTTCAATGTTCTGATTTTATAATTTTTCTTTTCAATGTGAAGTGTTCCAATTTTTGGATTTTTCAATCTTAGATTTTTCAGTTTTCGTTCTTTCAATTTTTGATTTGTAATTTTTCTAGTTTCATAATTTCTCTTTCTTCAATGTGAAATGTTTATGTTTATATTGTTTATTGCCTGGATGTTTCAAGTTTTCGTTTCTTTATTTTTCTAGATTTCATTTTAATATAAGGAAAAATAAAAAAAATCTTTTTCAATTTTACGATTTTAGAATTTTTCCATTTTTGGATTCATGGACTTTGAAACTTTTCTTTTAACCGATTTTTAATTTTTCGATTTTTAATTTTTCTGTCAACGTCACAGTTTTTCGATTTGACAATTTTTCCTTTTTCCAATTTTTAGGTTTCCGAGTTTTTCGATTCAGTGAGTTTTTTCTACTTTCCAATTTTTCGATTCATAAGTTTTTCTAATTTTTAAGTTCCTCGATTTTCCACTTTTTCGATTATACGGTTTTAGAATTTTTCCAATTTTCAGTTATTGGATTTTAAAACTTTGTACGGCTTTTCAATTTTTTGAATCTTCAATTTTTCATTTCTATTACGATCTACAACTTTCCGTTTCGATTCTTTATTTTCTTTATTTTTTCAATTTTTCGGAATTTCAATGTTCTGATTTTATAATTTTTCTTTTTTCAATGTGAAATTTTCCAATTTTTGGAATTTTTCAATCTTTCGATTATCAATTTAATTGGATTTGTTAATTTTAGATTTTTTAATTTTTTGATTTTTCAATTTTAGATTTTTCAGTTTCTCGATTTTCCAAGTTTTCGTTCCCTCAGTTTTTGATTCGCAATTTTTCTAGTTTCATAATTTTTCTTTTTTCAATGTGAAATTTTTCAAATTTTGGATTTGTAGTTTTTAGGTTTTTAAATTTCATTTTTCAAATTTAGATTGTTCATTTTCTGGATTTTTCAAGTTTTCGTTTCTTTATATTCGATTTGCAATTTTTCTAGTTTTCATTTTAATATAACGAAAAATAAAAAAAAATCAATTTTACGTTTTACAAATTTTTCCATAGCTGGATTTTGAAACTTTTCTCTTAATCGATTTTTAATGTTTCGATTTTTAATTTTTCTGTCAATGTCACAGTTTTTCGATTTCACAATTTTTCGATTTCACAATTTTTCGATTTTACAATTTTTGGGTTTTCTAGTTTTTCGATTCAGTTCGTTTTTTCTTCTTTCCAATTTTTGGATTCATTAGTTTTTCCAATTTTTAAGTGTCTCGATTTTCGACTTTTTTGATTTTACGGGTTTAGAATTTTTCCATTTTTCACTTATCATCAATTTCTCTATTTCTATCTAAAACTTTCGGGTTCGATTCTTTATTTTTTTATTTTTTGAATTTTTCGGTAGTTCAATGTTCTGGTTTTATATATTTTTTTCAATGTGAAATGTTCCAATTTTTGGATTTTTCAATCTTTCGATTATCAATTTATGTAATTGGATTTGTTAATTTTAGATTTTTTAATTTTTTGATTTTTTAATTTTAGATTTTTCAGTTTCTTGGTTTTTCCAGTATTTGTTCTCTCAATTTTTGATTTGCAATTTTTCTAGTTTTGTAATTTTTCTTTTTTCAATGTGAAATTTTTCAAATTTTGGATTTGTAGTTTTTCGATTTTTAAATTTCATTTTTTCAAATTTAGATTGTTCATTTTCTGGATTTTTCAAATTTTTGGTTTTTCGTTTACTAGATTTTGAAACTTTTCTTTTAACTGATTTTCAATTTTTCGATTTTTAATTTTTCTGTAGATGTCATAGTTTTTCGATTTCACAATTTTTCGTTTTTACAATTTTTGGGTTTTCCTGTTTTTCGATTCAGTTAGTTTTTTCTACTTTCCAATTTTTCGATTTATTACGTTTTCCAATTTTTAAGTTGCTCTATTTTCCACTTTTTCGATTTTACGGTTTTAGGATTTTTCCATCTTTCAGTTATTGGATTTTAAAACTTAATCGGTTGTTCGACTTTTCAATTTTTTGAATCTTCAATTTTTCATTTCTAATTTCAATCTACAACTTTCCGTTTCGATCCCTTATTTTCTTTATTTTTTCAATTTGTCGGTATTTTAGTGTTCTGGTTTCATAATTTTTCTTTTTTCAATGTGAAGTTTTCCAATTTTTGGATTTTTCAATCTTTCGATTATTAATTCTTCGATTTGTTAATTTTAGATTTTTTAATTTTTTGATTTTTCAATTTTGGATTTTTCAGTTTCTCGATTTTTCCAGTTTTCGTTCTCTCAATTTTTGATTTTCAATTTTTCTAGTTTTGTAATTTTCCTTTTTTCAATGTGGAATTTTTCAAATTTTGGATTTGTAGCTTTTAGATTTTCAAATTTCATTTATTCAAATTTAGATTGTTCAGTTTCTGGATTTTTCAAGTTTTCGTTTTAATATAACAGAAAATGAAAAAAATACTTTTCAATTTTGCGATTTCAGAATTTTTCCATTTTTCGGTTACTGGATTTTGAAACTTTTCTTTTAATCGATTTTGAATTTTTCGATTTTTAATTTTTCTGTCAATGTCACAGTTTTTCGATTTGACAATTTTTCGTTTTTATAATTTTTTGGTTTTCCAGTTTTTCAATTCAGTCAGTTTTTTCTACTTTCCAATTTTTCGATTCATTAGTTTTTCCAAATTTTAAGTTTCTCGATTTTCCACTTTTTCGATTTTACGTTTTTAGGATTTTTCCATTTTTCAGTTATTGGATTTTAAAACTTAATCGGTTGTTCGACTTTTCAATTTTTTGATTCTTCAATTTTTCATTTCTATTACGATCTACAACTTCCCGTTTCGATTCTTTGTATTCTTTATTTTTAAAATTTTTCGGTATTTCAATTTTCTGATTTTATAATTTTTCTTTTTTCAAATTTTTGGATTTTTCAATCTTTCGATTATTATCAGTTTAATTGGATTTGTTAATTTTAGATTTTTTAATTTTTTGATTTTTCAATTTTAGATTTTTCAGTTTCTCGATTTTCCAAGTTTTCGTTCCCTCAGTTTTTGATTCGCAATTTTTCTAGTTTCATAATTTTTCTTTTTTCAATGTGAAATTTTTTAAATTTTGGGTTTGTAGTTTTTAGGTTTTTAAATTTCATTTTTTCAAATTTAG